AAATATATCCACAATCCACCCATGAGTCCTACTAGTATAGGTCGAGTAGCTGCTATGCTTAGGATATCGGTAGCGTGAGTAACCTGCCATTACTCGCAAGTAGGTGATAAAATATGATCACTCATGATAAAATGGTGAAAAGGAAAATGGTGACCGGGCAGGGATATGGTTTGGGTACTGGTGGGTGTAAGGGGTTGTGTCCTGTGACCAACAAGGCATAGCTCGGTTACACTTTTTCCTGTCTGTGTCGATTAAGGACCGGTCGTTGCAATGGATGCTAGGCAAGTCACAGATCTTTTGTCCCGAGTGCATACTTGGGTATGGGCGCAGGGAAGACTTATTGCTCTCTTGTTGTGGATCCGGCTCTTTCCGGACCGACTGATTAGAGGCGGAGATGGTGGAGGTCCTTGCACCGCACTGAGTCCGGGACTCAAGAGTGGGGGCTTGGAGTTCAAGTTTGGACGGGGACCTGGACACCCAGGATAGGAGGTTGATGGGTTAGTCCTACTTGTGCCTGGGGTACAAGCGGGGCATGTGTTTTTGGGGCACCCAGCTGGGCACATTAGTTCGTGAATCGCCACCGAGTCAGTACGACTTGTCTTACCTCTAGCATCGTAGTAAGAACTGAAAGTTGAAAGAAGAAGAAATGGAACTAATTGCTCAACTCTTGCTTGAAAATAGAACAGGTGCTTATATAGATTGGATAGATAATAACTTAATACGGCTGATAATAACAATATAAATAAGGACTCACTATTAGTATTGCTTTCTGCTAAAAGAAAACCAGCAAACCATGAAACTTATCATATTCCTTGGAGTCGGAAAATTATTCCCACTAGTCGGATAAGTCTTGCGAGTACATTGTGTACTCAGGGTTTATTTACCCCTGTTGCAAATAATGTATGAGAAGTACCTTTGTGTGGAGGATTCTTTTGGTGGGCTCAGACGGATCCTCGTTCTTATCGATAGATGTTTATTTTAAATTCCGTTGTTTCTCATTCCGCACTCTGATATTTGGTAATGTAATAATGTAAGTTTTAAGAAACTCTGATGTATGAAATGGACCTGTATTGTAACTCGTTCTTATTATTAGATCCTTGGGAAAAATGTGGATCTTTCGGGTTCTCCCTGGTGGTGTGCCCGACGGATACCGCCGTTATAGCTTGCTTTCGGGGTGCTTAGTGTCTGGTGGAAGACGAGCGCCTCCGTCAGTGTGCTATTTTGAGTGGTTCTGCCACAGTTGGTACCAGAGCCAATAATGGTTACGAGTTTCATCACTCTTTTTCAAAACTTAAAAATTTGACCAACAAAAGTTTTGCGAAAAGTAGGATGCGATTAAGTTAGTTAAATAAGTATAAGCCTTAGCAATATGGTCTATCTAGGATAGCGGCACTGGTTTTATCTAATTAGTTTTCTGCAGGTACACTGACTTACGTTGCGTAAGAATCGCTTAGTATACAGAAAGTGAGTGTGTGATGTGCCGAAAATTTTACGAATGCCGCTATATTCCAGCTTGAGTGAACGTATAGGACGATACATGCATCATGATAATAGCATTTTGCTTAAACTAAAATTTCCCCCTACACGTATAATTGGATTAGTAAAGTGATAGGCTTAATTAAAAGAATGTTTTAATTAGATGTGTTGTCATCTCTCTAATCCCTTGCTTCTGATCGAGAAGGTTGTTCTCAACAGATGGTTCCTATCTCTTACAGATGAATTTAATGTCTGAACGCGGGAGCACTAGTGCCGGGGTGGCTCACGGTCTTGGCGAGGGCCAAGGCGAGAGTGGCCAGGCCATGAGCACAACTGGGAGAGCCATGGGGCTCCACTTCTGGCTCCTCCTCCTCCACCACCGCCGCCTCCGATGACTCATGCAGAGATAATGGCGGAGCTATTGGCTGCTCGCCGAGAGTCAGCCCGTGCCATGGAAATCATGGCACAAGCTATCGTGGGCTTCGCCTGCGGAGGCCACGGGGTCAATGGTGGAAACGGGGGTGGTGCCCGTCGTCCTGAGGGACCCTCCTCTTACCAGGATTTCCTCAAGACCCACCCGCCCACTTTCACATCGACAGATGAGCCCCTGGATGCGGAGCACTAGCTTTGCATTCTGGAGCAGAAGTTTCTGTTGCTCAACGTGGCCGATGAGCAGAAAGTACGCTTTACAGCGCAGCAACTATTGGGGTCCGCAAGTGCATGGTGGGATACTTTCCATGCCATGCAGCAGCCAGATCATCCAGCAACCTGGCAGGAGTTCACCACAACATTCAGAGAGTTCTATATTCCTGCCGGTGTCATCAACCGGAAGCTGACTGAGTTCCTGGAGCTGCGCCAGGGGAGTATGACCGTGATGGATTATGTTAATAAGTTCAATCACTTGTCCTAGTATGCTGGCATTCATGTGGACATTGACGAGAAGAAGAAGGACCGCTTCTTTCGCGGCCTCTCTTATATCCTTCAGGAGAAGCTGTACACGACGAACTATCGGGCAATCTTGATGTTCTATCAACTTGTTATCAAAATTAGTGCATGCCTTTTTTGTGTTACTATTAAAATTGATTCTCTTTCTTATATGAAGAAGTTTTTAACAAACTTAAAAATATTTTTATGAAAATACTATATTTGAAGTCTCTTGAAACAATCACATGAAACATTTCCCCAAAAGTTTTCCACAAATTATTTTCTAAAACTTTTTTGAGGACTCTATTGAAAATTTTATAATGGTTGTACAAATAAAAGATTGACAAAAAGTTTCTTGAAACTTCTTACTAAAAATTATGTGAATAAGTTTCTCCGAAAACATGTTGAAAATGTTCTTTGAAAAAGAAAAATTACGAAGGAATAGGGCTTTGGCGGGTTTTTTGGTCGCTTGCCACCAAATTGGCTATATAGGTATTTTATCATTTGTTGTCAGAGCAGACATTAACTGTCGGGTATCTATTAATGGCATGTTTTCATCACTTATTGATGGAGGGAGCATTTGAGGTTCGATCGTGGCAATTTTTTTCTCTTGATATTTGTAGGTGTAGTGTTGAGTGGTTTTTTTTTGTTGCTTATTGTTGGAGTGAGGACACACGACCATTTATCATTTGTTGTTCAAGTGAAATATTAGTGGTGGTGTATGGGCTAGAGAGAGGTTAGGGTTGGTTGATGGTGTGTTGTAAGGCATTAGCGGCATGTTAGTTTTTTTTAATCTTTTGTTGTGTTGGCTTTTTGTTGCTCGTTGTCGGAAGAGCGTTAGTAGCTGTAGGGTTTTTGTCACTTGATTTTGAAGGGACGTTAGTAGCCTTAGGAGTTTTGTCACTTGCTACCGGATGAGCATTAGTAACTATAAGGGTTTTTTGCCGCTTGATTTGAAGTGGGATTAGTAGTAGCCATAGGAGTTTTGTCGCTTGCTGTCCGACGAGCATTAATAACCGTAAGAATTTTTTGCTGCTTGATTTTGATGTGGCATTAGTAGTAGCCGTAGGAGTTTTGTTGCTTGTTGTCGGACGAGCATTAGTAACTGTAAGGATTTTTTGCCGCTTGATTTTAATGTGGCGTTAGTAGCCGTAGGAGTTTTGTCGCTTGTTGTCGGACGAGCATTAATAACCGTAAGGGTTTTTTGCCACTTGATTTTAAAGTGGTGTTAGTAGCCGTAGAGGTTTTTGTCGCTTGCTATCGGAGGGGCATCAGGCATCGTAAGAGTTTTTTGCCACTTGATTTTGAAGTGGCGCTAGTAGGCGTAGATGTTTTTATCGCTTGCTGTTGGAGAAGCATTAATAACCGTAAGGGTTTTTTTGCTGCTTTGATTTTAAAGTGGCATTAGTAGCCGTAGAGGTTTTTGTTGCTAGCTGTCGGAGGGGCACCAGTAACCGTAAGGGTTTTTTGCCGTTTGATTTTAAAGTGGCGTTAGTAGACGTAGAGGTTTTTGTCGCTCGCTGTCGGAGGGCACTAGTAACCGTAAGGGTTTTTTGCCGCTTGATTTTAAAGTGGGGTTAGTATGCGTAGAGGTTTTTGGCGCTTGCTATCGGAGGGGTATTATTAACCGTAAGAGTTTTTTGCCGCTTAATTTTAATGTAGCGTCAGTAGCAGTAGAAGTTTGCCGTTGGATGGCACTGTAGAGCCTCGGTTACCTAAGGTGTGTGTGATTTACTGTTGATCTATTGTTCTTCTCTTTAGAAAACACATGAAAGCCAGCTATGATTTTTTATTATTAAGAATCACAAAATCTTTTGATGACATTTTGCTGAAGCCCCTTGTATTTGTGTGGCATTGTAGCCAGGGTTGGTGGCGAGGGGTAACTGTGGGCGTACTCCGGTTTACCATCGGACGCTTGTGCTACACTGCACTGCACTACGCACGCGGAAGAGGAGGATGGATGCGTGGAGCGGTGCTGCAACGGCAAAGTACAAAGGAGATGATGGAAGCCGCCACGGCATCGGCAGGCCGGCGGGCGTCGGGGGAAAGAGCGGCGGCACGCATCGTCCAAAGGCCGTCGCACGCAGATGCAGACGCCGCGGTGCAGAGATGAGATGACGGAACGCATGCCGCCCGCGGGTTTCGGGGGGGGGGGGGCTGCCATTGCCAGTTTGCGCCGCGGCGTCTCCCAGCGGGACCACGCGGCCCCTTTACCTCCCCGGCCACGTGTCGCCCGCAGTCCACGTCGCGCTTGCGTGGGGTCCCGCCGCACAGAACCCGCTGCTGCTCTTACGTCCACACGACCCGACCTCGCACACCACCACCCACGCGGGGACGGGGAGACGCCAGGGGAAAGAAAGCTGAAAGAGAAGCCGAGTGAGAAGAATAGACCTCGCCTTCGTCTTCACCACCGCCCCGGCCCCGCAGTCTCCTCCCGATCCCCCCTCCGCCACCTCGATCTCATCCGGTGACCTAGCCAGGCTAGCTTCGTTCGCATGGATTCACCTGCGGCTGCGTCGTCGTCGTCGCTGCTCCGGGACTACTCGTAGTGCCGCCGCTCTTCCTCTCCCTCTTCCTCCGCGTGACCGCACCGCCCGCTGATGGTGATAGCCAGCGCCGGCGTGAACGTGCCCGCCACCGGTGCCGGCGGCGACGGGGTCGGGAACCCGACCGCCGAGCCTGCCGCCACCCAAGAATGCCGGCTGCGCAGGCGCCGCCGCCTCGAGCCGCAAGGATCCGGCGAGGCGGGCCCGAGCTGGGTGCGCCGGCTCCGCCCGGCGGCCTCCCGCTTCTCCTCCTCGTCGTCGTCGCAGTCGGCTTCCCAGGGCTCGTCACAGGAGGAGGCCGACCCGGAGGTCCAGGAGATGGAGCTGGCGCCGCTCACGCCGGCGGGGCTGCAGCCTGAGCCTGTCGCCGCCGTCGCCGCGCAGCAGGTGTGGCCCGTGGCGTTCGGCTCCGTGACCATGGCAGGGCGGATGCGGATCATGGAGGACACCGTCTCGCTCCACCCCAACTTGTGCACCTGGGCCGCCGACGGCTCGCCCATGCACTTCTTCGCCGTCTTCGACGGCCACGGCGGCACCCATGTACGTGTCGTCTTGTCGCCTTCGCCTCGCCGCCGCCAAGTTTTACTAATCTCCAGCTAATCACTCCATCGATAGATCGATCCCATTCCCATCCCTAGTTAATTTGAACATTTCATGTCCATCATCACTTGCCAGCAGTAATTTTGTTACCTAATTGGCCATGGAAGGAGGGCAATAAGGCCATGAATGCTTGCCGAAGCAAAAGCTGCAACAGCTAGCTTCCTCCTGCACCACATTTGGCCTTGGCTACTAGCACTAGTCAGTGACTGCTTTCTGTTGCTAGCTAGTACCAAGTGTCCAGCTGGCCACATTCTAGCTCATTCCACCAAATTCGACATGGATCCACGTTTCTCTACCTCGTTTACTTACTTGTCTTTTTTAGTATTTGCCTGTCCATCATTATTTCGGCCTGTTAATACTCCATTAGACTGCAACTGATCAATGCATGTATGCACGCAGGTGTCGGCGCTGTGCCGCGAGCGGATGCACGACTTGGTGGCGGAGGAGCTGGAAAGGGAGGGAGCCGCGTTCCTGCGTCGCCGGCAGGCGTCGAGCGACGCCGCGAGAAGCGTCTCCGCATTCCTCGGAGGTCCGGGTCCCGCCGCCGAGCCCTGGTCGGAGCAGGCGGAGGAGGAGCGCGCGTGGCGGGCCGCGCTGATGCGCAGCTTCCGCCGCGTGGACGCGATGGCGCCGCTGGCGTGCGCGTGCGGCCGCGTCGCGCGCCCGAGCTGCGGCTGCCCGCTCTCCGCCTCCGGCGCCGCTGCCCGCTCCACCGGCATCGTCGGCTCCACCGCCGTCGTGGCCATTCTCGTCCGCGGCCGCCTGATCGTCGCCAACTGCGGCGACTCCCGCGCCGTGCTCTGCCGCGGGCCCGAAGGGACGCCGCCCGTCCCGCTCTCCTTCGACCACAAGGTATTTAGTACACACCGATGGATAGAGCACTTGCTTACGTGTCGGCTTTGACTCGCCGTAGTGTGGTTGTGGTCTGGGGGCGCCTGGTCAGTCTCGGCGACGTTGACCGTTGACCCGTGCGCCGGGGCCCGCGTGTGGTGTTCCCCCTGTGAGGTGTCGCGCCTCCAGAAGTTTCCGTCGCAGGCGGTGTTCGTGCTCGCCGACGTGTACCGCGCTGACGTTATCAGCAACGGAGGGAGAGGGGGTGCTGCCGTGCTGGGGCGCTGGGATCTCGACACGGCAGGGAGGCAGCGGGGCGCTGGTGCAGCACGGATATCAAAGCGGGCCATGCAGTGGCAGTCCCGAGGATACCCGCCAACTTTCGGGGCGGTCGCGGTGCGCCGTCGCTGTCGCCGGGAGGACACGTGGCAGCGATGGCGGGGGACCCGAGAGCGGGGGGGGCACGTGTCGGTGGACGCGGGGGCACGTGTGGAGACCCGAGTGGTCGCCGGCAGGTGGGGCCCCTGGCAGAGCTCAAAGCCGCAGCAGTCTCCGCCGGGGAGGAAGGGGGTGGTGGCCGGAGGCGCCACCTGGCGTGCTGCCGCTGCTCCAGCAGGAGAGAGAATCGTTGGGAGGGATGCTCCTGTGACTGCTGGTGCCTTGTGCTCAGCTCTGTTTTCTTTTGCTCTGTCCTTTTTTTTCCCCCTCTCCGACGAGCGATGGGTGGTCACAAAAAAACCAGCAAGTTTTTAGTGGCCGGGAAAAGAGGCTACTACGGAGTAGAAGCCTGGTGCGCCAACATTCGTGCTGATTACGACGCCGTGTAGCAATTAGGTTTTCTTTTTTTCTAAAACACATCACTACTGTCAGAGTGTCTTGTCATTTCCAATGTTCTTAATCTGGGGATTTCATTGTTACCTTTGAGTTTACGATTTTTTGCTGCAAATTGCCGTTTTTATCAACTAACTACTGCTTGTTTTTTTTTGTGTTGGGAATTCAAACAAAACTTTGTGCAGCCGAATCGCCCAGACGAGATGGAGCGGATCGCGGCGACCGGCGGCCGGGTGCTGTTCATCAATGGTTACCGCGTGCGTGGAATCCTCGCCATGTCACGCGCAATAGGTACCAATGTCTGCACTTTTACATCATTTTACTTCATGCGCTTGCTTCTGGTAATTCCTTCAGCATATATTTATCCATCATCTAGTAATAAGTACATATGGAAAATGCATTTGTGGGCTGGGTTCTCTGTTTCTTGGAATCAAGTGTGGTTGCACTCGTACGTACTTGCTGATATGAACCCACTGGACCATCATCTACTTGCTGTTTCTTGGAATCGTGCATGTGATCTGGGTTCGGCTGTCTGAATCTCACTAGTACTGTTCTCATTAAAATCACAAAGTGATACTGTTTTGCTTTGCGCACGTGTTTGGCTTCCCACGTTTGATTTGATTTGATACCGATGTCGGTTTGGATAGATCATCCTTATCTTTAACCGCATTTTAGTTTCTTATTCATATAAATTCATGGGGTCATTGATGTGCTTGGGGGAATTTTCCAAGAGGCCAGCGTTATAGAAAATTTTCCCATTTTGCACACATGTTTAATTTTGCTCTTATTGCCAGGCCACAGCTTTTGTATGGCCAGTCATGTTAGTGCATGCAGCATGAGTTCAGAAAATTTCCTCTGTTTCTGTTTAGCTCGTGCCACTGGTGTAAGCATTATACTGATGATGAGTAATATGCGGGTGGCGTTAAGCTATGACACTTTTTTTAACAAATGAATGCATTTGCGTGCTTAGGTTCGCTTTGTTGTTTGCCTTTTGGATTGCGTTTCAATGATAGACTGAAACTCCCTTGTGTGTTCCGTTTGTAAGACGTGCCCCTACATTGTTAAACTATAGTTTTGTTACCAGCAATGTTGGGGGAATATATATAACTATACAAGTAAGCTAAGGTTTGAAGGGGAATACTATATCTGAAGGGGGATTTGATTGTCGCTTTGCATCTTTTGCGAGTCCGAAAGAGAATCTATTCCTTTGCATCTTGCCATGGATCCACCACTTAAAAACCGCCAGAGTGTTGAGGTATCGAACTAGTAAACATCGGCTTACTAAAACTGTTCCTTTTGAGCTCTATAAGATAATAAATAAAAAAGAGTGTGGCTTGTAAGTTTTGTGTCAGCGAGGTATGACTATGACAAGCTATAGCTTTTGTTCTATGAAATTAATTAAGGTTATTGTTGCTTTTGTAACATGGGATTGAGCTTTGCATGTTCACCACTATTATCCTGCTGTATTAGTTCATAGTACAATATTATTAGCCACATACTATTATAGTGTCGTTTAAGGAACAAGGTGTGCAGCTTCAGTCTTCAGATGAGCTCCACGTACATGTTATTACTTGGCAGTTATTGAGTAGATAAACAGTCACATCACTGATATCCAATGAATTGTGGCATGCTAATTGGGCTAGGAAGAGGATGGCCACATGTTCTTCTCTGCCCATCTCACCTGACCATTTTAAGGTTTACCTTTCAGCTATTCGTTGACAGCGATGATTGGGTTACTTAAGCTATATATTGGACATGACAGGGAGGAACATGTAGCTAGCGGGTGTGCTTGCGCCACGAGTTCGTCTCTGATTCATCAATTGTGGAAGTGCCATTTGGCTAAGAGTACTTCCTAGCTCTGATGCTAACCCAACCTGGATAAAGAAGTGGACCTTTATAAATTAGTGGGGATAGATAGGTTTGATTACCCTATGGCCTATACTAGTGAGGGATGTTGTCTTGTGTTTGTGCCCTGAGTGAGCCCATGATAGTGATGTATATCTTTACCTTAATCAAGCAAGCTTGAGTAAGCAAATGATCTGACACGTAGATTTGCATTGAGAGTTGACTTCTTAGATCGAGTACATAGATGATTGTTTGTGTTGCTGATGATTCCATTTAATCATCAAGCAATGTACGTATCTGATTTTTTTTTGGTAATATAAGACATAAGAGTAATATAATTCTGGGTGTGCAGGGGACAGGTTGCTGAGGCCTGAAGTGATCGCTGAGCCGGAGATCACCATCACGGAGCGCACGGTGGAGGACCAGTGCCTGATCCTGGCGAGCGACGGGATGTGGGACGTGATCGACAACGACATCGCCTGCAACGTCGCCCGCCAGTGCCTGGAGGACGGGATCCCGCCTCCGGCCTACGCCGCTGCCGCCGCAGCTGCAGGACGAGTTCCTCCGGCCGCCGGCGGAGTCGTCGGCCACCAGGAGGAGCCCCGGTGCGTCTGCGCCGCCTCGCTCCTGGGCAGGCTCGCCCTCGGCAGGGAGACCGAGGACAACATCAGCGTCATCGTCGTTGACCTGAAGCACAGGGAGTGAGCAGTGGCCGTAGGCTGCTCTGTTGCCATGCCGTCCTGCAGTCCGAGCGAGTCGGCTTAATCGATCTAGGAGTGAACTGAGACTTGTGAGGAGGTGATCGTCTACACCTGACATTTCCTTCGTTCTTTCGATTCTAAGACAAGAAGATTCTAGTTTTTTTTCTTTCGGTTAAAGTGGATGGAAGATTGCCGTCCTTAAGTTAAATTAAAGGGAAAAAAAGAGGAAAAAGAAACAAGGAAAAGAGTGCAATTGTACAGCATTATTAATAGCAACTTGTTTCCATTTTCTCAAGGACAAGGAGCGAGGCTAAGCTAGCTGCAGTCTCTAGGTAGTTCTGCAGTCCGCAGCCTTAGGGATCGTTCGGTTCCTCGGGATTGAGGGCGTGGGACCATTTCAACTTGGAATGACTCACCAATTTGTGAACATTCCAAGTTGGAAATTTGTGAACCGTATTCCAAGTTGAATGGTTCCAGGCCCTCAATCCCCAGACACCGAACAAGGCCTGATTTGAATCGAATGCTGTAGTTCGATCATGTGGCTTCATTGATTTGGCTCGAATGTTGTGGTTCGATCATGTGGCTTCATTGATTTGGCTGGTGTCTCTGTTTGGCTTTCTGCTGCTGGGGGTGTGGGATGCATTTTTATTGCAGGAACTTTGAGACAGCACTGCCTGCACTGCAGATGGTGAAGCTGTCAGATGCATAGTAATATTCTTGCAGTTTCCTTTTTGTTTTTCAAGTACATTGCAATCATTCAGCGGAGGAACGAACGATCTTCTGGTCTCAATGCAGAGGAAGTACATTGCAATTATTCAGAAGTTTCTTCTCTTTACCTATGGCATCTAAAGGTTCTGTATTGTGCATTTGTGCTTGACTTTACGGAGAATTGACTCCAGATTGTAAAACTCTATGAATTAGATAGGTAGACAACACTTGCGCTTCTTGGTCCTCAGCTCCCGGGTCAACGAACTCCCGGTTCCATATTTGTAATCCTCGCTACTTCCCCTATAGTTGTGTTATAATAACCCTGTCTTGTAGCTGCCATTGAATTGACCTATAGGCACGTCAACCTCAAATCACTTTGAATCATTTGTAATTTTTTTTGGTTAATTTCGTTAGAATTTCAAAGTGTGAACATGAACTTTTAATTACAAACTTTGGTCTTTAATGTGAGCTAATGCAAATTTTGTCGCGCTAATTGGTATAAAGTAGACCTGAGCATTTCTCGAATAAGACCAAAAAAAGGTCCAAGTTTTTTAGGTTAGAAAATTAGGCAAGTTGAGTTGTCGGAAGAGTGTTATTAGCCGTAGGGTTTTTTTTGTCCTTTGATTTAAAAGAGGCAGTAGTTGTAGAGGTTTTTGACACTTGATTTTCAAGAGGTTAATTAGCCGTAGGGCTTTCTGTCGTTTGCTACCAGAAGGACACTAGTAGCCACAGAGCTTTTGTCGTTTGCTGTTGGAAGGACATTAGTAGCCATAGGGTTTTTTTTTGCCGCTTGATTTCTAAGAGACGATAGTAACCGTGGATGGGAGATTGCCGTCCTTAAATTAAATTAAAGGGAATCAAGAGGAAAACGAAACAAAAGAGAGCAATTGTACAGAGTAAGTATGATATGATGATGCGACATTTATGTGCATTATTAATACTAACTTTTTTCCATTTTCTCAAGGGCAAGGAACGAGGCTAAGCTAGCTGCAGTCTCCAGGTTCTGCAGTCAGCAGCCTGATCGGAACCGAATGCAGTAGTTCGATCATGTGGCTTCATTGATTTTGATTTGGCTGGTGTCTCTGTGTAACACATCTGGTGTTACAAGTTTACTTATCATCTAGGTTAATGCCTTAGAGAAATTAGCAAAATAACTTTTCGGGTTTAAAAATTTAGAGCACACATAGAATTATAAACGAATCTTGTGTGACTTATTTTCGTGAATAAAACAAACAAATAAGTGTCGCTAGTCAACTTGTCTCCATGCTTAACAACTTTTAAATAATCTTGTGCATAAAAGTTGTTTAGGGCTTGTTTTGGAAAAGTACGAAGAAATTACTTAAAAATGCCTGGTAGCAAATAAATAGCGAATAGCTTGTTTATTTGATTAAGCATGAAAACCAATTTTTATAAACAAAAATAAAATATAACTTGTAATTGGTACTTAAATAAAATTTAAAGTGCAAGTTTAGTAGATGAAAATGCAACTGTTGATTTGGTGAATAGATGTTGTTCCACGGTATTTTTGATAGCTCAAGAATTGAAAGTGGAATGTAATTTCAGCTTCTAGAACTAAACGATTTAAGTCTGGAAACCTAACGACGATGCCGTTTTGGCATTGAAATTTTGATTAAAATTCATAAACACTAGGTCTATGTTTTCGTAGTGTTGGTTGCATCTAAGTGAGTACTTTAACGTGGTGAAGTGTACAGTTGGGTTGGAGTTGTCATGGAGTCGCAGAATTTGCCCAAATTTAGTTGAAACACGTTGTAGCTATGTCGTTGACGCTCTGTTCGTGGACTGTCGTTCAGCGTGACAACCTATCTTGACGTCGCTCTAACTTCCTCTCCGATTATCCTCTGGTCGTAAGAGTTGCTTCGCCAGTGAAAGGTCCTAATGGCTAGAGGGGGGGTGAATAGCCTAATAAAAATTTCTACAACAACACTTAACCAAATGGTTAGACAATTATGAGGCGAAGCTAGTGTTGCGCTAGCCTACTAAAAAATGCAAGCCACCTACCACAATTCTAGTTTAGATAGTGTCAATTCACACAAGCGCAATGACACTACCCTATGTTAGTGTGCTCTCAAAGGCTAACTAAAGAGCCACACCAACCAAGCATGCAAGCTCTCACAACTAGCTACACTAAAGAGCTTGTCAACTAGTTTGCGGTAAAGTAAAGAGAGTGATCAAGAGGGTTATACCGCCGTGTAGATGAATGAACCAATCAATCACGAAGATGAATAACAATGATGACCAATCACCTCGGAATCAATGATGAATACAATGATTTTTACCAAGGTTCACTTGCTTGCCGACAAGCTAGTCCTCGTTGTGGCGATTCACTCACTTGGAGGTTCACGCTTGATTGGCATCACTCGCCAAACCCTCAATAGGGTGCCGCACAACCAACACAAGATGAGGATCACACAAGCCACAAGCAATTTACTAGAGTACCTTTTGGCGCTCCGCCGAGAAAGGTCAAGAACCCCTCACAATCACCACGATCGGAGTCGGAGACAATCACCTCCTCCACTCAACGATCCTTCTTTGCTCCAAGCCGTCTAGGTGGCGGCAACCACCAAGAGTAACAAGCGAAATCCATGCATGAAACACAATCACCAAGTGCCTCTAGATGCAATCACTCAAGCAATGCACTTGGATTCACTCCCAATCTTACTATGATGATGAATCAATGATGTAGATGAGTGGGAGGGCTTTGGCTAGGCTCACAAGGTTGCTATGTCAATGAAAATGTGCAAGAGTTATCCCTTGAGCGGCCATGGGGCTATAAATAGAGCCCCCATCAAATGAAACCGTTATACCCCTTCCTTTGGGCAAAGCAGCGTTACGACGGGACGCTCGGTCGCCCGGCCGACGAGCTCGCGCCTCAGTCTCGGTCCGTCGCCGATCGTCGCACCATGTCAGACTCAACGGTCATCTGCCTCGATGATCTTTGCTGCTCCTTGGCGACCGGACGCTGAAGCCCCAGCGTCCGGTCGCTTTTCAAAGAAGCTCCCGAGGCATGTTTTTTTTGCCCGACGCGTCCGTCCACTCCTTCGACCAGACCTTGAGCGGCGTCCGGTGCTCAACCCTAGCCATCGTATCGCTGAAGTAGCGACTGACGCAGCGTCGGCGTCCGGTGCTTTTGGATTCAGCGTCCGTCCACAGGACCGGCGCTTGACATCATTCGATCAACTCCATTTCAACTCTAACTTCTTCACCCTTGCTCAAGTGTGCCAACCACCAAGAATTTTGCATCGGCGCAATAGAAAATAGACATTTCATTTTTCCAGCGCGAATCCCGCCTCAAGCTCGGCGGGATTGCTTTGGAAAAATGAAATGTCTATTTTCTATTGCGCCGATGCAAAAAATTTTGGTGGTCAGCTTGGGAGGGAGGGAGAGGGACCAAATCCATCTCAACCCCGCAAACACCTTGTGCACATGTGTTAGCATATTTTCATAAATATTATCAAGGGTGTTAGCACTCCACTAGATCCTAAATGCATATGCAATGAGTTAGAGCATCTAGTGGCACTTTGATAACCGCATTCCGATACGAGTTTCACCCCTCTTAATAGTACGGCTATCAAACCTAAATGTGATCACACTCTCTAAGTGTCTTGATCACTAAAACAAAATAGCTCCTATGGTTTATACCTTTGCCATGAGCTTTTTGTTTTTCTCTTTCTTCTCTTCAAGTGTAAGCCCTTGATCATCTCCATGCTATCACCATTGTCATGTTATGATCTTCATTTGCTTCTCTACTTGAAGTGTGCTACCTATCTCATAATCACTTGATGAACTAGGTTAGCACTTAGGGTTTCATCAATTCACCAAAACCAAACTAGAGCTTTCAGCCAGTTAGGTGTTAGTACCGACTTTAGGTTAGTGGAACCGGTTGAACCTGAGTCGAGTTGATCAGTGTCATTTGTTTCGCTTTTAAATCTGTGCACATCACCACTCGTCATGGCGTAGCCGTGTCCGCGGTCACCGCGCGCGTGCGCTGCCGTTACCGGCCAGTCTTGGCCACCGTCGTGCCCATGGTTGGCCTTGTAGGCTGCCGGCTACACGCGGGTTAGGGGCTGGCCACGGTCGCCCCATGGGCTGGACTGAGCCGCAGGGTTGCCGCTGCACGGTCATCGCGTGTGCGTTGCCGGCCAGGCCGTGCGCGGCCTTGTCACTACCACGGCAGCCATCGTGTGACTGACAAGGCGCTCGCTCCACCCATCGTCGTATCTACCACGTCGTGCCTCGGCATATGCCACTATTGCCATGATGATCGTTGGCCCTAGG